AATAAATTTCATAACTTATGCCATTTAGGCATATTATCAAACACCTTGTAGGCATAGATATTTGCACCTCATAACTATAGTGTTGGTTCATCTAACTATCACTATTAACCAACAATTCATTCCACCATCATTCCTAACAAATTTATAACTTTCAACAACATATGTATGATCATCCATTCACACCCAACCAACAAATCCTATCAAATAATCACCTTTAAATCCCTACCATGGTCATGCATTTAAATTGGGAATTTATGACTTCCAATCACCATACCATAAGTTGTAATACTTGATTCATACTCATAATTCCATAATAACACCATATATGTAAGTCTAAGGGTGTAGGATTACCTCTTGTAGACCAAATCTTGAAAGACAACTTTTGGGGTGTTCTTGAGATTTTGAAGAAATCCTATGAAACCCAATCAAAATCATGTTGTAACTAGTGATTAAGAAGTGAAATCACCATGATAACACACTTAAAAACTCACCTTAGGTATGCAATTAGATGCCTTGGTCGAGTTGGGGGTGAAGAGGAAGCCCTAAGCTTGAGAAATGACTCAATTTCTCTTATTTCCGGTCTTTAAGATATTTAAAACCTTCCAGACGCGCGAGCTCGCGCGCCTGTTCGCGCGCGGGAGGCAGAATACTCAGCAAAAACGCACAACTTCGCTCTAGTGACACCTGCCCAGTAAAATGGTCATAACTTTCTGTATACACCTCCAAATGACGAACGATTTGTTGAGTTGGAAACTAGACTCAAAGGGCTTTAATTTGATAGGTTGTGCATCACACAACTCATTGTATCCAGGTAAATATGCTCGCCCAAAGTGAGGTCTTGTGCATACTCATTTGCAAATTTTCAGCTACAATGAAAATTTTCAACTTGGCTTGGACTTAAGCCTCTCCTTAGACCCCAAATCACCTATAATATACCTCGTACACTTATTATCATAACCACTCAATTACCATCACGCTAATACTCGTTTAATGCATCCACAACCGATTCAAATTATGGGGTGTTACAAAAAAACACAACGATTGAAACTCAAGCTGGTAAAGCAATCATACCAGGCATATATTGGAAGTAACCACAGATCAGCCCATCCTCCCACTCTCCTTGTTCGTCTTCCATTTCAGAATTGCATCTTTAGATTCAAAAAAAAATAGCGTAAATCAAGAGTCCCAATCTTCGAACAAACTTTGGTACTAAATTTTTTGGATAAGACCGTTTAATCCTAAACTGATTAGTTGATTGACAAATATCATCAAAAAAACATAATAAATGAGCAAATCAGAAACAATTAATGACATGTATGCAAAAAGTCTAGAAAAAATTATGCAAAACTAAAGAAAGCGAACATTCACCAACCAAAATTTGGTTTAGCAATAGAAGAAGTGCAAAAATCAAAGAAAATTGCACAAACAACTAATTAAATTAGAGAGCTCGTAGCAGATTCAAATAGAAAAAAGATGGATAAACTATTTGCAGAGGCCAACATGAGAATTCACTGAAAGAATTCGAGAAGGGGGAAAATAACGAGATATATACAAGAGAATAGATGATAGAGCAGAGTAACACAGATGAAAACAACGAGAAGGCTCTGCAGGTCATGGCGCTTACTCAGAAATTTTTAGGCTACGTGTAACTGTACAAAAGACCATGGAAATATTTCAGAACTCAAAAAGGCAATGAAAAGACTTAAAGCCTGTTGTCTTTGGCACCTGAAATGACCAAATTGCCCTTGGTAAGCAGGCATGACGACCCTGACCTGCTTCCCAAACGGCAACTACCCTATATATCTACCTAATCAAAAGTAATTACCCCTAATTACCTATTTTAAATGTAATTACATCAATACCTATTCTATTACAACTAATTACCCGCCCAACCCAATTCTCGCGTGCGATGGACATATCTAATTTAAGCAGCAAAGTGTGAATCCAAAAAAGAAGCCAAAGAATATTTAGCTTTTCTCAATAGTGGGCAGTGTTGTTAGTATTGTACTTTTTTCTGCTATCATCACCCCTTTTTTGTGCTCCATAGTTTATTTTATCTTTTAAAAGTTTTAAAAAAAAAAGGTACTATCTAACTAAAATTTGAATTTTTATGTGTGTTGAAGTATTTGGTGTTGGAATTTATTGGGTATTGTTCTTTGATTATGATGTTAATGCTAATTTTCAAAGATTTTATTGTGAGAAAATTAAATTCATCATTGAAGGATCTTGAAACTTGAAACTCATAACTTGGTTTGTTTGAGTTTTTAATTGTTTTGATCTGATCCTGGATGAGTTTGTTTGGAAAGTTGATTGAAGGTTGTAGCTAAAGTTTTAGTCAATTTGATGGAGATTTTGTAGTAGATTTTACAAATTTGGGTTGAAATATAGTTGAACTAGAGTAGATGGCGAATTTGTATTGTATACCCAAATAGTATACAAATATACCATTTTGGTATACAATTCATTCCAACTATATACCCTATTAGTATAGTTATATACTATATTGGTATCATATGCTAGTTGAATCATTTTTTGGTTGTATTAGCTGCATTTAATTGATACAATATTTGATTTTCTTTTAATAATAGTAATATAGTACAGTTTCTTGAAATACTTTATTATATTAATATGTGGTACACTATTTTTTTATTTTTCTCTTTATGCATGTGTGTTATGTAATAGTAGTATAGTCATATAGTTGCCGGGAATTAACCAGTAAAGATGTATACCATGTTGGTATAGTTATATGTCATATTGGTATCATATGGTAGTTTGTTTTGATTGTTTTAGCTGCATTTTAAGTGAATTCTATTATGAAATTATTTATATGAACATGATTTGCAGTGCTGGAATTTTTGTATGACGATGGACATAAATTATGTGTATTATGTAATAGTTTATAATTATAGGCAATTGTTGGAACGACCCCATACAATTATATACCATGTTAGTATATGGAGTGAGCAAGTTGTTTTGCGAATATTTAGCTTGCAACATGAGTATGTAATTTTCTCATACTTTTATTGCGTCCTTTAATGTTTTGGTATAGTAGTATAGTTGTAGGTAGTTGTAGCAATATTCTAGAGCAATCATATGCTCTGTTGGTATACATATATACTATACTGGTATCATATGTTAGTTAATATTTTTTTGATTGTATTAGCTACATTTAATTGGTACACAATTTGATTTTTCTTTAGTAATAATATATAAAAAAAATAGTGAAAACAGTAAATGAAATTAGATTATGAAGAGAAAAAGAATATAAAAAAAAGAAATTAAATGAAATTAGAAAAGGAAAAAAAGGAAAAAAGAAAAAAATAAGAAGAAAACGAGAAAAAAGAAAAGGAGAAAAGAAAAGAAAAGAAAAAAGAAAAAAGAAAAAAGAAAAGAAGCATAGAAATAAAAAAGAGTTGGAGAATAAAGAAGAAACTCCCCACAAAACCTACAATGGGTAGGAAATATAATTAGTTTATGGGTAGGAAAACAAATGGGTACACAAGGGCAAATAGTTTTGTTTTTGTGGATAACTGTGTCAAAACCCCTTCTATATATATATACTAGTGTAGAATGGCCCGTGCTGAGCCCGGGCCCAAACTTATGTTGTTTTATAAAAAGAGTGCATAAATTTCTATGAGATGTATAAGTTTTTTGTTATTAGAGATATAGTTTGAGAAACTCAATTCGAGGGGGTCTTCTAAATGGATTCAAACGCTATTATCCTGGAATTCTCTCTGCATAAATGAATTTTACTTAATTGTAATAGTTCACTTGAGCCATTACATTTCAACTTCCAAAAGCAAATTTGTTAGCTTAAGTAACTTGTGGTGTATAAGTATATTTGGGAGCCAATTCATTTATCTGCTAATCTTTTATTAAAAAAAAATTCATTGACCTTCGACGATCTTTAGGCTGTCTGGGTATAGAAAACTGAACTTTGAGCTTTTGCACTTGCCATTTATTAACTCCGTTCATTATCATTACTTTCAGAAAACAGAACTGTCAAGATAATTGAAAGTCCATTGTGCTTACACCAACAAAAAGTTGTTTCTGTACTGTGTGACTTCTCCCTGGCTTCCTTTGTTGGTAAACCTTATGAGCTCTTATATTTCCTGCAATCCCTGTCCATAAAAATCCGAGGGAACATACTTGATGTTTTTGATTTACAATATCTTGAATTATTTCTGCCCAAGAGTGTCAAGAATTTAAAGTTACAGCCAACAACGGAACACTTCTCTATCCACTGGATAGATAAGCTCAGAGGTGTCCCTTGGTCCAAATTGCAAAGCTTATCTCTTGTCTTAGACGTTATGTCAGATAACCTTTTAATCACAGTTGTGAATTTCCTTCCACTTATGGTAGAGCCGAACTGAAGAAGGACCTCCCACTGGTCAAGTTGGCCGAGTTTTGTTCTCTGCTTTATACTTAGTTTGTCTAAAATACAACTTCACTGTGATGCACGTTATACTTATTTTAGCCTTATTTGCAGCCTGAATTGTAATGTTCCGATTATCTTGCTTTATCATTCTTTGTTGTATAAACCCTTTAAATTGCAATGGATATCATCCGGTTAAAAAGGATCTCTTCTCAACTTTCAAGAGAAATGCGTTAGCTTATTTGCAGTCTGTCATATTCAAACATTATCTTTGATCGCAATGGGTTCCTTTTGTCATCACCACAAAAGAATTGAATTGATTAACAAGATTAAAAGAGTGTTATTTTGCACTTCTAGTGAACTTGTAAGATTTGAAGAACTCATACTCCATAAGATAGGGCAACTTTTTAATAACGTT